AAAGAAAGAAAGAAAGAAAGAAAGAAAGAAAGAAAGAAAGAAAGAAAGAAAAGAAAGAAAGAAAGAAAAAGATCATTTTGAGTGAGGCAAATCACAAAGACTCTTAAATACAGAGAACAAACTGAGGATTGCTGGAGGGGTGTTGGGTGGGGGATGGGCTAAATGGGTGGTGGGATATAAGGAAGGCACTTGTTGGGATGAGTACTGGGTGTTTTATATAAGTAATGAATCACTGAATTTTACTCCTGAAATCATTACTATACTATATGTTAACTAACTTGGATTTAAATTAAACAAACAAATTAATTTTAAAAAAAGAGAATAGGAGGCAGAGGGAGAAGCCACACCCTGTACTTCTGAGAACCGAAACACCCAGAGAGAAAGCAGCTGTCTGCAGCCAAGGAGAAAGGCCTTAAGGGAAATCAAGTCTATTGATACTTTGATCTTGTACTTCCAGCCTCTAGGTCAATGAGAAAATAAATTTCTGTTATTTAAGCCACCCAGCCTGTGGTATTTTGTTTTGGAAGTCCTAACAAACGAATCCAACAGATCTGTGCCATTTGACTTATGGTGACATAGGGTACAGTTTTTCGTCCCTTCCTTTCATTACTCATAAGGGAAGGGATGGAAAAACTGCACATTAAGAGACATTTGAAAATAAGTTAAAATACAAAGTTATATACCCAGTGCCACTTCTTTGGAAAAGGCATACAATTTTTATTGATAGGTATTAAGTTTCATCCAATCTGCACTGTATGTTGAATAAATGTGTACAGAATGGTTTAAAGGTGGCATTAAATGTTGGTGGCTAAGTTTGCTCACAGGTCTCAATCTAACATAAGAAAGAATAAGGAATTTGGAGCCACTTCTTGTGCTCCATCACTTCTTGTGATGATGAGGTGTTTGTGTATTAGAAAAGAGGGAATAAAATTTGACTTCTTGATTTTAGACTGTGGATAGCTATGAGACAAAGATGTTAGAAACATTGTTCATATTTTGCACTTATTAGTGTATAAGGAAACACTTGAAATATTTTATTTTTACTCAGAGTTCCCAAGAGATGAATGAGTTTCCTAAAGAATATGATCCAAGATCTGTTGGATTGACTCTTTTTTATAAGGTTGTTTGGAAGCAAATTTGTTTCCTTTGTATAATCATTCATGGGATTTGTCTTTTGGCCTAATTATAAATTCAGTTCTCAAAACAGTTTGTCCTTAAGTAAATTGTAATGCTGTTTTCTATTTAATTTTCTAAAAAAAGAAATCTAATGGAAATGTCCTATCTCAGATTTATTTGTTATTATACTAGTTAATGAAAATATGTAGTTATTACTCTTTTTCCCTTATGTAATTTTGATGCTATGGAAATTACCCAGGATGCTTTCTAATAAAATAAAAATAATAGCTCAACAATCTTATCTGGGTTTTCTCAGGTCTGTCTTGCAAAATTAGCCATCAGGAAATACCTTATCTACCAAAATATAACACTAGCATATACGACAAAATGGTATTTCTTGGACTGTGGTTCACAGCAAAAGATACACAGAAAGCTGAAAATTTTCAGTATTTTCTTGTCAAGTTTTCAGTGACATTCTTGAAAAGAAGAGCCTGAATAATAAAAAGAAAGCAATATGCAAATTTGGGAAAGACCATCAGTGGCTACGAAGCAGAAACTGGAAAAGGCAACTGTAATTTTGTTCAATTTTGTTACCAAGAATGTAGTCAATTTGTTAGAAAATGTGCCTGATTACAAGCTGATGATCAGTAATTTAAAAATAAGCATATATATGTGGAACCTTTTATTTGGGAGGTTTTGGTACTATCATCTACAGTACAGAAATTCTAATTTCACAAATGAAGAAAGAATTCACAAAAAAAGTTGCAGTTAATAGAGGCAGAAACAACTAGGCATATTTGATAAGCCACAAAGAGATGGAATTGAATGCAGTAAAAAGTATTTTTAATAGGAGACACAACTCTGCAAAAGACTTTTTTTCTCATTTTTAATTTTTCTCATTTTATAAATATATTAAGTGCTATTTGCTTTTCTATAGCACTAATATACCAAATTCATCTCCTTAATTTTAGTGAGGTACCAAGACTTTAAATGAGCATCCAAGTAAGGGGTGGGAGGGGGCAGCAGAGATTAGATGAGACCGTCTCTTTTGTGACTATAAGATTCAATGGCTTCATGGACATAGAGACAATGACCATAACAGCCAGCATTTATCTATCCCAGGCACTGTCCTTAGTGCTTTGGGGTTTTTTGTTGTTGTTGTTGTTGTTGTTGTTTTTTATTTTTTTTTGTTTTTATTTATTTCTAGGAGAGAGAGAGACAGCGTGAGCAGGAGAGGGTCAGAGAGAGGGAGTCACAGACTGAAACAGGCTCCAGGCTCTGAGCTGGCAGTCAGCACAGAGCCCGACGCGGGGCTTGAACCCACAAACCGCGAGATCGTGACCTAAGCGAAAGTCGGATGCTTAACCGACTAAGCCACCCAGGTGCTCCTGTCCTTAGTGCTTTGTAAAGTAACCTGTGAGACTCCAGGGTTATATGGAATGAAAAAACAAATAGTTCCAAATCAGAGGAGAATTGACAATGAAGTTCTAGAAGTTTATGTTTTAATCAGAAAATGGATTATCTCTATGGTTCCAATATTCTGAGGGATAAGGGAAATCTCATCTTTGATTCAGAGATTCCTGCTTATCCTCCACTACCCATTCTTCCCTTGCTAGCAGCTGGCATGTGACTGCTTGCTGTAAAGACTATGTGTTCCTTCCTACCTTCCAGTTAGGGGAGCCCATGTGACTCAGTTCTGGCCAAGAGAACAGAAAGAAGTATTGTGAGATAACATGCAGGAACCTGCTTTATGAGACTATGTATATGCTTTAGAGAGATCATCAGAATGTACTGTTTGTCTTGCCTCTTTGGGAAGGGACTTTGGTATCATGCAGTTAACACATCAGGCTAAATGATTTTCTATGTCTCACAATGTTACAGCATGACAGCCAGCCAGATTTTTAT